GCTACATCCCCGTCTGCTTTACACCCGGCAATAGCCGGGTCGCCCCGAAGACACGACGCCAAAACACAAGAGGAGCAACATGGTGCGTGCCGTGCGGGGAGGAGCGCTCAGAATTGTATGTCGGTGAAACAAAACAGCAGCTACACCGGCGTACGGCGCGGCATAGAAGAGCCGAACCCTCCGGTCAGGATTCACCAGTGTACCCACATCTACAGGGAAGAGGTCACTCCTCTGACAGACAGTCACATCCTAGACAGGGAGGGGGAGGGGTTCATAAGAGGCCAATTATGTAACAATGGAGGAGCCAAGCTTGCATAGAGGTGGGGGGAGGGGAGGGGGGCATCTATCGTCTGCCACGTACAATGCCGTATACCACGTCTCTCTGGGTCGGTTATTAACACCTCCTAGACCCCAAATTATGCAAATGCATCACCACCTGGTTATGACTGACAGATGATGTGGATTGGAGCGACATTCACCATGTTTATTCCCAGTGAATGTTTTGTACAAGTCGTTCTGAATGGAGAAAGCTGGTCGGATGATCAGTGAAACGTCTTCAAGAAACAATACAGCGAGTTGAGTCGCCTGGACCTATTCTTTACAGATACACCATGTGACCCGGAGGAATGAACCTTCACAGACAGGACACATTCTCGGCTTCTTTCACGGTTTGTAGGGAGTCCGCCATTCAGGTGGCAACGCAGACAATGCCGGAGCCTCTGCACTGCACCCGCATTCCTCTTCTGCCGAACGTACAGATCCATTAATGTGCATTTATTACAAAGTGAACTTTGCCTTAGGACAGGGAGGGGGAGACGAGTTTTCGGGGTGGGGGGGTCCCCTGTACCTATTGTTTTGCCTTCCATACCCTGTGTCTAGGCGAGTCTCGGTGAGCAGCGTGTCACACGGCGTGTCAGCTGATCACATAGTCCTCAGGTCAGTCCCGTTCCAGCTCAGTGATTTGCCCTCCCCGAGGACTGCCGCCGCTGCCTGCCGAAAGTCCAATATTCCCTGCGCCCCGGAACTGCGCAGAGGCGCCTGTCAGCGTCACCGCGCCGAGCTTCCGGCAGATTACCGGTCACTGGTGGGTCAGTGTTCCCCGCGGTGCCGCTCTCACCAGAACCTCATCGGTATCAACCTGTCATAACGTCCTCCCAGGACGGCATCGTAAGTATCTGCCGGTGCGCTCCTCCGATCTCCCCCCTCCCCGCTGAATAACTGCCCCCTGACAATAATCACTGGTGAGGCTGCAGAGGGAGGCATAAGGCCCGGGCCGTCTCCTTTCCAGACCTGTCACCACACCCAGTGCCGCGGAGGAACCGTCCAGGAGGCCCCCAAACTGCCCACAGACACCGCAGGCTTCCTACAGCGACATACCCCATGCAGGCCATTCCGGGCAACCATCGCCCCACGTCTACAAGCCCATCAGACCCCCATCTGCCCCCCACACAGAGAACCTCTTCCGTTACCCCCTCATTTTTCTGACTATTCTTCCTCCTCCAGGCACAGCGCGGAGAGGTCACATGACACAAATGTTATCAATGGAGTAAAATAAGTATTTGATCCCCCCGGCCAACCAACCATAATTCTGGCTCCTCCCACAGACT